GCTGGTTTAAAATAAATATTTTTATAACTGGGATAGTAATCTAGGCTTTATTATGTAATTCAGTACTTTTCACTCATGAATATGGAGAATTTTAAGAATTCAGCCACAAATATCCTTTGCAATGTTTTCCCACACATGTTTAGCAATTAGGTATTCATTATCAGAATGTGCAGAATTCTAAGAATTAATTCATTAAATACATGAATATTTAACAATGAATTCTGTTTGACTGACAAAAAAAAAATAGTTGAAACAGAGAGATAAAATAGGACTTTCTGATTATTGAAAATTTTTCAGAGATTTTCTAGTTTTTTTATGTACAACACTGACACTGATAGCATCAATTTGCGCCATTCGAATTTTCCATCAGAGGTCTGTGGGTCCTGCAATTCTACTAAAACAAAGTGCAAATCGATGCTATCAGTGTCCCAGAACCACATAAAATTTTAAAACACCTCTTTTCAATCCCATTGACAATCAGCCCACACCTGTTAGGGAGTTTATCAATTAAGTTTCAAATGGGATGCATTTGCATGAAAATCAACATTTGATATCGGCCCCTAAACAGTCATAATATCACCTGTATATCATATTTGAGGAACTGCGTAGGGCTGGCAGCCCAACTGGGTTTACCAAGATTGTTAAGTAGTTTCAGCTTTTTAAATTCTGACATCTGAAGATAGGGAAGTGTCGTATGTAGGCTGAAACAGATCCAAAAGGCAAACTATTCTAGTCATCCTTTGTGATTGTATATCTGTATTGTCAATTTGTACTAGATGTTGTTAATTTGTATCATGTGATTATACTTGTCACTTTATGTATTGCCTTTGACCAGAAATGGTGCAAAATGTTGCAAATAAAGATTATATTAGTCTTTTCAGGGCAAATAATTCTCTTTGTGTGAGAGTCTGATGACCCTAATCATAATTCCAGTTGACCCAGCTGTTAATGGGTACAGATAATCCAGGAAAGATCCATGCCAAGAGGTCTGGCCAAGGACCAGTAACAATTGTTCTTTTCATTTTTGGACTATTTTCTTAGGCTATGTTAGATAACAATTTGACCACACCCCTGTCCACTCAAAGTATATCTACTAAGTATACTATTTTCAAGACCTATTATTAGTATCAAAAGAAATATAATAGAGACTACTATAGTCTTCAGTGGTCATGTATTCTACTAACTTAACTATTGTCCTAACTCACTGGCCTTCTACTCAAGGTTTTAAAACTATTATGAAATGAAGTTTTTCATCCAACCTTTCTGTATGGGTATAGTAGACAAGCAAGGACAAACAAAGTTGTTGGCAACACAATGCAGTGACCAATGAGGTAAATATTGCCCTATTGTCCTAACTTTATGCACTACAAAGACAATTAACAATAATTCTACTCTATTAAAATATTTGAAATGGTGTTTATCAGTTTACCATTCTGTTCTAGTTTTGGCTAATGAAGAATATCAACTACATGCAGTGGTCAATGAGAAAATGAAATATTGCCCTTCCAGCCATCTGACCAACAATTTGATGGAAGAAATATATCTAACCTTGATTCTCTAAGGCAGCTTTTGAAAGTATGGTACCGGTATCCAAAACACATACAGTAGCTAGGGTTGGGATGAAAACAGCTCAGCCCAGAGGAAAAGGTGAACCCACCCCACCATAAAAATAGTAACAAAACAAAGGGTGTTTACAGTTGATTGGCTTGGTAAGTGAACTATTAACTCTTGGGTTCACTTCTCATTATATTCGGTCAATGAGCTGTTTTAAGAAACAGTCATTAAAATAATATAAATGGAATGAAGTTTTACTTCCTGCTTTTCTGTTCCAGATTGACTGATTTAAGACAACCAATGCCAAAAAGTGTACAATGAGGGAAATTTTGACATGACAGCAGCCAGCATTAACCTACACTTTCTGGATTTCCAACAATAGAGGCATTTTTTTTTAAGAAAACCAGCACCTAGTACCTATATGCTTTTTCATATCAGATCTGCATCAATGATAGAAGGAAGTGGGACTCAAATCTGCAGGTATTATCTCAAAATATACAGGATTGAAGGCTGAATAAGGAAATTGACTGACCAAAAGCCTTTCGGAAAGAAAACATTGCCATCAGCACTATGGGTAGCCTCAAGTTCAAAAAACCATTTACACCTATTTGTCAAAATTTGTAGGTGAAACATTTTAGATTTTAGATAAGAAATTGTTTGTACTTTTCAATTTCTTCACAAGTTTTTAGAAAAAAGATGAAGGGTTGCCATATCAGATGATGAAAGTATAAATTATAGAGAGGATGTGGTGCTCAGTGAAGCAGATGAAACTATTTTATGAATGACCAAGACTCTCCATTATATCTCATGTGTCAGTCTAAAAAGGAAATTTGACAACCACAAGATATTAGAATTCCTTGGTTGAGGTTTTTGAAAAATTCAGGCTATTTTAAAATGGATTGCTTTCAACCTATTAGAGGTCTAACATTAAAAAAAAACAAAATCCTTCTGAAAATCTTTTCGATAAAGTGTGAAAAGCTGGATTTCTTATATGTCAGGCGGCATACCTCAAGTTTACCTACAGTTATTATCATTTCCCAAACATACGGTACCAATGTTTCAATGAAAGGAGTTGAAGACTTTCGGAAGCACCGGCCCTGTCATCAGAATATTTCAAAGCTTGGGTTTGATTTGAATTGCTTGACATTATATAATTACGTTTAATTAAATTCCTTTTTACTTTAATTACAGGTAAACCTGAATTCATATTTTCTTTCTAAGCAGTGATACAGATAGCAGAATGAAGTTCTAACAGGTGGTAACAGCAAATATAAGATGATTATGTCCCCTTAAGTTAAATCTAACATGACAAGCATATCATTTTTATCAAGGTCTAAAATGATAAATGAAAAAACATATGGACAGTCATGTTTTAATGTCAAGATGGTGGCGTCAATTTGATGATTAACTAGACACTTCACATCCATTAGCCTGCTTTAGGCTTATCTGGGGGCCCTATTCCATTATCATTGCATGCTTTAAAGGGACAGATGTGCCATTTTCGGGGATTGATTTTAGTCTTGAAGATGAGTAAATAGTCCTCAGAAGTACTAGAAATGTACGAAGATCTTATAATTCCTTAAAAATACTTCAAACTAGGAATTTTACTCACTATTTCTGTGTATATGTCTTTTTTATATATCACAGAGTATCTTAAATTGACGAGTCATCATTTTAACATTCAAACACAGATAATACTGGACACACATGGATTTGAAGGCTCAAATTATGATGGTGCTGTGAACACTATTACTGATTGGCTTAGCTAAAAAAATTCCAGTTTCTGAGACTAAAGTATGATTGGTCAAAAATAATTGCGCATCTGTCCCTTTAAAGACATACAGGTCTTTAAGGCTAGTATCACAATCAGAATGTTACAGACAAAGCTATCATTCTGCCCTTGCATACAACAACAATCTAGCATGCAACTGAGCTATCCGACTATTCAGAAAGAAGGTCACAGTGAACAATGAGTTCAATTGCAAAAGCAATGGCTCAGGCATTGCGAATTTTTCATATGTGCACAAAATGGACAGATAGATACCAATTTCCCACTCTGAGCTATCCTCCTATATAAGCTTATAAGACTGGAGCAAATGCAGGATTGAATCTCAAATCTGTGTGTCTTTAGGGAGATTCCCACCTGCTACACCTGGTCTAGTAGAGATCAATCAAGTTATATCACCCATGTATTGAAGGTGCATTTTGAATTATAAAACCAGGTGGCCTTTACAGTTGAGAAATATTTTTAGTAGTTTGAATGAAAAGTTACAGTAATTAATTTGTCACCATTCAGACCTTTTACATACTTTTATCTATCATTTACTTCACTCAACCAGAAACTGTAAAGATACGTTACTATACAAGGGACATAAACTTGTTGAAATTTGGACGATTTTATCCTCAGCTTCATACAAGAACCATGACAGTCAATGATGGTCAATATGAAGTTAATTTTTCCCAGATTTTTCATAGTCAGTATTTTTATAATGTCGCCTTTACATGTAATACGAAGAACAATTAACACAGGATCAATAACACCTTGTAAAATGTTCATAATGCCTACTTTTCTGTCAATAACCCACAGTAAAGTGTTCATAATGCCTATTTTCCTGTCAATAACCCACGGTAAAGTGTTCATAGTGCTTACTTGTCTGTCAATAACACCTTGTTAAGTGTTCATAATGCCTACTTTCCTGTCAATATCAGTAAAGTGTTCATAGTTCCTAAATGCCTGCCAATAATTTTCTATGACCAAGGCCAATACTTTCATTGAGACTCTTCTAAAAATACCTGAACACCCAGTTAACTTTTTAAATCCTACTTGCTTTTCAGTAAGTTTTCTATGGTCCTTTACTAATCATTAATATTTCACATTATTTTTCTTATCATGCCCTTGAGCAAAATGCATATTGTTTAAATAAGGAGAAAGAAGAAAAAAAGTAAACAAAAGAATGATATATAGATTAAAATATTGATATTTGGTCCATGTTTATCTTGTAATGCCTTGTTGTAACAGTGATAATGCCCTCTAATAAGATGTAATATGACTGATATGGCCCTGTCTATAATTGATAATTCTCAGTCAACTTTATACAAACTTACACAAGGTTATACACTGTTTTAAAATCATTTAAAGTGGCACTAGTACCATTTTGTTCTTTATTTCAAAAATTCCAAGTGGAACTTCATCCTGGCATTAAAGACAAAGAAGTACAGAACCATGAAACAACCCTTATCCTCTGGTTCTGAACTTTTCTGAAATTATTCCAATAGTTCCAAAATTAATGGAGCTAAATGTGGCATACTTATTACTCAATTTTCAGGTTGGAACCATTCCTGAAATTAATCAAAGATGAACAAAAAGAGCATTGGAAAAATAAAAAGATAAGATACCCAGGGGTAGAAAATGGAGAGAGGGGCTGGAAGAAAATGGGCTACTCACTCAAATGAAGGGTTAAATTGACAACATTAGGGTACTGGGTTCCTTCCAGCATAGTCTGCGACTGCCACCACGTCCAATTATAATTATTGTTAAAATCTGTCATAAATTCTGGGGGATGATTATATCCAGGGCGACGGGAATCACAGTAATTATTGCAGGCTTTCGATACTCCTGTAACACCCGTTTGTAAACAATATTCCTCCGTTTTGTCCAAACCACACGTATTCGTTGCCTCGACGGGCAATCCAAATGCAGCGTTCACAAATTCAGGCATACATCTTTGAGCCCGTCCATACGAGTCGTAACAGCTACTACGACCCTGAAACGCTTCACCCTGAGCCGACACGGTGTGGGAGAAAATTCCTAAATAAGTTAATATCACTATCGAGATCATTTTGTCTGCTAAAAATCCATAGGAAGAACTTTTAAAACTTTTCCGTCCAACACCACCGCTCACACTCACCGCCATCACTATAGGCAAGAACTAGCAATCATAAGGCATGCTGGGAAATGTACTAAACTTTTAGTTAAGGTTAAAGGTCGGCTTGTACTGATTGTCAAAACTTTTAATTTTGTACCAAATCCCTTAAAACATCCACATGGGCTTATTTCTAGCTCCAAACTTTCAAAAAATCTCGATTTTGACAAAATACACACGTAAAAATAACAAATAAAAGATTTTGAAATTTTATATTTCGACCTAAATGTGTGTAAGGGCCCTAACTCGACATATTTCCCGGCATCTCAAATTACCTTGTCGAGGAGAGAAGTATTAATTGACGGTTTGAACGGGGGAATAGCAACAACACATTTAAAAACAAAGAGACCCCTCTTTAAATTAATCAAAAAATCGAGCCAAAATATCAATAATCCAAGCATTGGAATTTGTAGAAAAATCTTTTTCAAGCCAAAGGCGATAAGATTCCAAAGAGGTTTCGTGAAAAGTGTGATGAATCGGCTCTAAGAAACTGGGTTAAAAATTTTGTGGTTCCATTCACAGCAGGAATTCCTGATAATGGAGAAAATGTGCTAAAAGGTTTTCATAAAGAGAGATCGTCTTTCAACCTCTTGTGACGATTAGTTCTCTTTGAGGTTGTTTACAATTATGAATGGTTCAGTGTTGACTTTAATGTTTATGTTTTGGAATTATTCCTAATATTGTCATTTTTTCTTATTTACAGGCCAGAGTAGGTCCTACAGCCAATATGTGGACTTCATTATTTCTTAAAATACCTTAGGTTCCATCGCTGCTTAGTAAGTTCACAGAGGCCTACTTAGATCAAAACTATAGCTGTCCTGATGACGGCTGAGTATCCGAGACAGCGTGAGATGAACCCTCTTCCTTAAAAGAGTCAACATTTGACTGTATGGTCAGATCCAAAATCTGCAAATCCAGTGGTTGATTTCTAGCGTCCTTTCTGTAAAGATTCTTTAAATGTCTCCCGAGTTGATACATCATGAAGCCGTATCTTTAAACGGCTTGTGGTTTACATGGTAACGTTTTATATTTAATATTTTATCTATATAAACTAATAATCATTAGTAGGAAGACTGATAACGGCCCACTTATCTTTGAAACATCACAGATAACAAACTGTAAAAACAGCAATTTATTTGATGATCCGCTCATTTATTTCCTATATTATTTTCTGAATTTAGACCCCTCTTTTCCTAAATTCCAACCCCATATATGTTCGCCCCTACATACGCATATGACCGTCGACCCCTCTCTCTCCACTAGAAATACTTGGGTTCAAATCCCACATACATGCCCCCTCCCCCATTTTTCACTATACATAGCCCCCGCCCAACACACACACATACATCACATACTTGCAATCCTACACCTACAAATATGCCCCGATGACTTCAGGTTTGTCCTGTAGAACAACAATGTATAACAATGTTGATGTAATTTTCTAGTCTTTGTTTAATCATGATAAGATAGAGATTAATTAACCTTATGTTAATTATCTAATATAATCAACCAGGTTTGACAATCTCATCTACATAATTTTACATCACCTGTATACAGGTCTACTATCGTTTGCATTGCGCTGGTTTTTTAGTTAATGAAATTGTATGTCAACGTGCCTCAATGGCATCGGGTAATGAAGACGGGCAACAAATACATGTAGTGTGCAACGAGGGGAATTTTGCCAGGAAAACGCAGTGCTTTTTAACTTCTTAGAATTAGATAAAGACCTCACATTGTCTGTGTCATTGTATCACCAATACGGATTTTGGCATGGTCTTATTAACCAATGATGGGGGGTGCGGTTTGCACACGATGGCTCTGTGTATGATCGTTTTCATCACAGACTATTGACGATGTAAAAAATTATGATAAAAATTGGCCGTATACATAGTATAAAGGGCCTAATATTACAGCCGCAAGGTAAATAACATAGCGCAGAGTTCCAACCACATTCCGATTCTTCAATACCCCCTCAACATGGTTATACGAAGCCGAAAAACGTCAACGAACTTCATAACGACATGTGAAAGAGATATTCCCAATTAAAAGAGTCTTAATCCATAAAGGCGAAATAAATATGTTCGTAGTAGAAATCTGACATCTGGACGAGAAAAACACGTGTAAATTCCTGGAGGAGAGAGTTTTAACACGTGGTTATCGTTATCGGTACCATCTGGACACCGGTCAAGCGTAACATTTCTGATAACTGACCAGTCTCAAATCTTAACTCTGATTTCTTCCTTGTCCACGGCCGAGTTTCACCGCCATATCATTCGACCCGACCAGATGTAACGAAAATATCAACAACCAAACCAACAACACAGAATCATCCAATCTGAACCAATCCTACTATCAACTACCTAGTTTGCAATAGCAGCATCCGCTGGAAGCGAACGTTCTTTTGTCATCTACCAACTTTCTTTCTTTGCCGCAACTAACAGTTCTACTGTAGAGGAACTCGACTTCAATTTTTCATTTTGAAAAGTGTTACATTCATCTGAGATTGGGGTGATAAAGCAAATACTAAGACAACTATAATATCCGTTTAATAATGGTATTTCCTATAACTTCCGCTCGTCACTTGTAGACGAACATAACATTAAATTTTCATTTTACAATGTAAATTTTTAGCAACAGAAATTGACCCTTGCCAAACATTTTTTTATACAACTATTTATTTAAGCTATGATACACGGCGGAGAGTTTTAAAACCACGAAAGTGGCTGTTTATGCATATTATCGAGCTAATCAGACCAAATTATGGGGTAATTAAAAATAATGAGAATGTACCTAGGTGCAAGTTTGAGTTTTATCACCGTTTAATACGATAAGTTCGTGCTTTTATCTCCCTGACCAAATTAGAATAATTTGTCTAATTATGAACGGACTATGTTACCCCAAATTTGGTAGACCTACTGACTAGGCGAACTTCAGACATGGGAACGAACTATAAGTATGGCTACACAGCACTACTCTAAGGCAGTCTAAGGGCTATTTTCAATCGCTTGGCAAACTACCGACATTGCTCTACAAATTTGGGGGAGTCGAAATCATTGCCTTTCCTTTGTTTCATCTGTTGGATTGTCGTCTGCTAGGCTATTAGGTGCCGTAGGTTCTTATTCAAGGTAAAATTATTCTGATTCCGCAGCCAGTGCTCCTATAAGTCACAGCCATGTTTGCTTTCAAACCCTATCACCTTGTCAGGGCCGTAAATAGCGCCATGTCATAAAACTTTATTGTTGTCTACTTTGTTATAAAGAGCAGTGGAGTTATGTCCCTTGAATTACGAAGTTTTCATTTTTAGAGACAAAAATGGTCATATAAGGAAAATAAAGAAAAGTTAAATGAAAACGTAATTATTATTTTTAGCAAATTTTGTATCATTTAAACAATTTACCACTCTCAGTTATTGTTGTTGTCATATTTCGGATGTGGTTTGAATCTTGCTCTATCCAAAATCTCAAATTTGGACGACATATGGTAGGAAATTATCGATTTTTTTCATCATATCAGATCAATCTACAGGCATAGTGATTGAAATAATTTAATAAAACAGAATCTAAAACATGTTGTTATCTCAGAGTCGCATGCTATGCGATTTTCAGACAACTGACCTATTTCAGCCTGTTTCTCTACTGAAGTTTGACAAGTAGTAGGCCTACTCTGCACTTAGTGTCTGAATTTTGATATGGTGGTAGCCTAAACCTATATAGTATTATGCTTGCATGGTATGATGACAAATAGTCACAAGTGAAGAATGTGCATCATAACTCTGTCTAATAGGGATGTGTCACTGAAGTCAAATTGACAGGCGGATCGGTATGAGAGTGCTATAAGGTGTTCTTCGAGAAAAGTCATGGTGACAGTAAAAAAGAATTTATTGATTGTAGTGCCTTGCTCAAACCTAAACTCCATGTAGTTAACTATAACATTTAAATGCGATAACAAGGCAAATAGAGCTGACTATAGTCTGTATTTTTAGTGACTGTAGAGTGGTACTAATTATAAGCTTCTAACTAATTGATCATATTTGATTGAGAAACCATATTTATTGTAGCTAAGAAAATAAAAGATGCCACCAAAATTTGTACGAGTTCCTGGCAGGAATGATATCAATAATTCCAGAGATGTAGAAAGAGTGAGTATGAAATTTATTTTTCAAAAAGGCAGAAAACATTTTCAAGAAGTCTGGTTTTAATCTATCTCTTCCGCAGCAAACTTTTGTAAATATATTTGTGTAGTTTTTAGTAAAAGTTGGTTGGTCATATGAGACCAAAATGTCTACCATATCAACTAGTCTTCTCTTTTGTATTTCAGCAAAATTTACTGGCCGGTGATTCCGATGATGAAGATTTCTTTTACAAGTAGGTAGATTTCAAAATTCAGCAATAGGTTTGACTTGTGTGAAAATTATCCAAGGCACAAAAAAGCACAAATTTTGTTTACAAATTGTTGCAAAGAGTCAATAGATATTGAACCTTTTCTTTAGATTTTTGTTAATTTGCATAAAACTTTGCTAAATTGTTACTAAATTATTTTTTTTTATATTTGTAGAGGTCCTAATGTGAATACAGGAAGTTTACGGGGTGATCCCGCTATGGACAGGTAAAAGAAATTTAAATGCAAATTTATCTTCATTTTCTTCATTTGAGGCATTAAAATTCAAAATTTACATGGCCCAAAAATTACTTGAATTTGGTATTTCTATTGTATTTGAAAGGTTAAGAAATCAAGTGAGTGATGTGGTTGGTGTAATGAAAGACAATGTGGGTAAAGTTATAGATCGTGGAGACAGACTGGAAGATCTTCAAGATAAATCAGACAACTTGGCCAGTAATTCAGACATGTTCCGATCTCGAGCTAAAAGTTTACACAAAACCATGTACTGGAAGAACTGTAGGGTGAGTAGCCATTTTCGAACTTTAATGGCGTAGGACAATTTCTTGGATAAGAAATAGATTTTGGGAGTAGACATCATCTTTCAATAGATTTTTTAAGAATTGCGATTGATCTGCTTTACAGTGAGATTGACCAATCAGACCTCTTTATTTGTATGATTATGATATCTCAACAGGATGCCTTACCATACTATACAAACACATACGTAAATTGTGATTGATTCCAAAAAACCTCATTAATATTCCACATTGTGCCATCTTTTATTTCAGATGAAGTTGATCCTGGCTATGATAATTATAATCTTATTAGGCATTGTAATCAGTAAGTATCATGTCATTCATTTAGTTGAGAAAGTAGGGTGAAGGTCGGCAATTTTTTCAATTTAAACTTTCTTTTCAAGAATACAGCGCTGTTGCTTGGCTCCTAATTAGAGCTATTCAGTAAGCATCTCATGGTGCTATATTGGATAGGTGATTCACATCAACGGAAAAATTTTTGGAAATTAAATTTTAAATCTTTTCTCTTTGCAGTTCCAATTATTGTACATTACCAGCAATAAAATTACCTACAGATCTCAGAGGTGAACTGGTTGTGGTCTGAATATCAGTGTTGTAAACTGTCAATCATCTGGATTAGAATACACCCACATCATTGCTCTCATCAACCATGCTGTCCATCATTGGGATTAGGACACACCTACATTAACTTACCTTATCAAATTGAAAAGACAAAGTCGATAATCTCGATGAAGACGCTCCCTTCATATCTTCTCTCATCAACACAAATAAAGTGGTTTGGTTGTAGTTTGCGTTATCAGTATTGTAAAGCTGTCAATCATCTGGATTAGGACACACCCACTTCAACATCCATGAATATCAAAACCTGAAAAGAATAAGGGATCCTTGTTTAGATGCTGTTTTAATTTCAACAATCTAATGCAATATATTAGCTTTTTATTTATATTTGGCGTATGTCTATAAAGCTTCAACATTTACTTGTATTTATTATTTTTTGCAAATTTTCATAATTTTGTATATTAAGAAATTTATTAATTCCTATGGAATTTATTCAGAAAAGAATTTAATGGAATACCAAGCCTTATTTCAGATTTTTTCAGTTAATGCTTGGTTTATGTATTAAAGTGATTGTAAAGAGGTTTTCTAAATTTGTATGTATATAGGGGACTCTGATATCATCAATTTGCACCATTCCAATTTTCAATCAGACGTCAGTGGTTCTTGAAATTCCACAAAAAAATAAGTGTTTGATGATGTCACTAATTGTGAAGTTGCTTTTTCACTAAAACACTTCGGGATTAATATTGCCATCAAACACTTATTTTTAGTTTTATTTTGCATGAATACATGATATCAATACCCCCAATTTCAATAAAAGATATCTTAAATAGAGAAAAAAAAATTGTGATTTTAGTCTTATATTAAATTTCTTAATTAAAGCCTATAATGAATGTTGAATTTTGTGTATAGTACAGCAAAGATATTGACACATCTGGGATGAACTCGAATCAGTAACTCCAGTAATCCACTTTATTTTTTAGGAAGAATTAAAAGAAATTGAAGCTAAACAGGTCAATCTCTTCTGCACATAACTACTTACACTACCTAAAAATTAGAAATATTAAAACAGAACCTGAAACATGTTGTATAGAACTTAGCATAAAGAAATTCAGAGTTTTGATTCGAACCCAGATTTGCCAATATCTACTAGAAAGTATTGTGTGTGTTTATTTGTGTTTTGTTGTGATTGCTTAGAGCTGGGAACAAACTTGGTGATTATTGTTGTCGAAATTTATATGTTTGTAAATAAAGGCTTACAATTAACTTAGCTTGCCTTCTACAAGTTTATTGAAAAGGAGGCATGGTTTTAGGAGCTCGTTTAGACATTGCAAGGTGTGAAACAGTAAATTATAGAATTTCGACCTATTCTTACATATAATTAGACTAAGTTTCTATTGCAACTGCTTATGGGTCTTTTAAAAAATGAAAATTCTAATACTTATATGAATAGAAAGTAGAGGTGTTCTAATGACTTTGAAAAATACCAGTTGGTTTCACATGTCCATAATTAATTCAAACATAATGATATGATTAAGAATACATGATAATTCATTAGAAACACCAATTATTTAAATAGTTTGATTAATTTGACACTAAAAATTAAGGAAACCCATCTTTAAAGTGTATTATTGAATTTCCTAATTTACTGCCTAAATATAACTCTTAACATGATGTATTGATAGTTAATTATTGTTAATATTTAATATGTTTATCTCTGATATTTATTATAATTTGTATAATCACTAGGAGGGTCACCTAGAATGTGATAAAATAAAATATTGAAATAATCTTTACCAGTTTTCTTTTTAAACTTATAAACAGTATTGCAGGAGGTCTAAAGGATTATGCTGAAAGGCCTTAATAAGTGCAGACGTCAAAAAGAGGAACAAAAGTACATGAATTTGGTTCAAAATATCTTGTACATCACGCAAAAACTCAATCTGAAATAGATTGATGTATTCCGTTCATATAACACAAAGTTTGCTAAGTGGAGATGATAATGCTGCATGTGACATTTACGGTCAAGGGGAGAAAACTCTATTTAGTAAAAATTGCAAAGACAAGATAACTCTAAAAATCCAAGATGGCCGCGCCCAGTAAATTCGAAAATCTATTTATGATTTAAGTGTATTATATATCAAATTACAGACTAAATCAAGCATTAACCTGTGCAAATGGCTACTGGAAGTAATGATGCAGACGATGGAAAATGGGCATCAAGTGACAACGCCATTGATGTCGATTTTGACAAGTTTAAAAAGTTTGTTTGTATCCAGCATCCCGCAGTCGTTGAAAATGTCGACAAAGCTTTTGATACTTTAGGCGGTTTGAAAACAGTTGGAAAAGTATGCTTAGGTTTTATCATAATTCTATAAAGTAACATGAATTAATTGAGTGAATTGAGCTCAAGAAATTGCTATGTGACTCATGACATGTCAACAGTTTTCAATAATTTTCTGACTTGAAAGTTTCAATAAAACCTTTGACGATTTGATGATCACTCAGTCTTGCTTTATGTTGTAATCAATCATTAATAGATTCAAAAAATCAAATACTGATGATAAACTGACAGCTATTCATGCACCAAGACATCCTGTCATTTGTAAATACTTGTAGCCTATGTAGGAAACATTGTCATTCCTCTTAAAACAGACAGAGAGCTAAGATGAGTTCAGTAAATTGTCTTCACTGACAAATTGGATCCAGAGTTTGAGTGTGGAAGACATGTACTAATAGTCAGCACTGATTTACTTGGTGTATATTGAAATATTCTTATTATAGCTATTAGTCTTAAAGCTGAATGTTATGGTGCAACATTTTGAAAATCTAAACATTTCCATAAAGGTTTCTAACTCTTCTATTGACATTAATGATGAGAAAAACAGGAATATTTTTCCAATGACAAAATTGATAAATCTGTGTACAAAAGGAAAAATAAATCAAAGCTTAATTATTGTTATTTTTGGAACTGGCATATAATTTTACGGAAATTTTGCAATTTCATTACATTCCAGACTTGTCAGAATCCAAATAAAAGACTGGAATTAAAATGGCGCCCAGAAGATATTTATTGTAAACCAACGTATGGTAACAGAGTTAATAAAGATAGTCTGGTGATGAAGGTACGGAGAAGAAGAAGAAAGAAGAAGAATGAAGGAATGAATGATGGAGAAGAATATGAGTATGAATATCAAATTGAAGTGTTGGGAATGATCAACGTTTATTATGATTTTCAAAGTAGGCTATGTACTTATAATTCTGAGTTATGGCGTCTGGTTGAGAAACTATCCTCATTGTAGAAATTGTAAGAACAAAGTACAGAACAGAAGAGTGTCAAACTTCATATCTCTCAGGCTTTAAGAAAATGCTTGAATTTTTTTGTTTCTTTTCTGCTCTGAACTTGGCTGATACTGACATGAAACAGTATGCATTGTGGAATGAGGTCAATTTACCCACTTGTAGCTTATGATATACCATACAACTTCGGATCTGAGACAGGGATTTTGATTTAAGTGTATTTGCCAATCATGTCTGGTCTGTCTTTTGGTCGAAAACATGTCTTTCACAATTTTTTGTACTTGTATTAAATGTGTTGATCCAGAAAGCTTTTTGAAAAATATCTCCCTTATTTTCATAACCAACTTATTTTGTTTTTGTTGACAGATATGTGTGATTTCCAATATTTACCAACGATTCAAAAACTAGGACAGAAACCAGTCAGTCTTCTCAACCAGTTAAAAATATCAGACTTTGTCAAACAGAAGGAATATCTAGAGAGAGATGTGCCATTATTTATGCCGCCAGTAATTTTTGCCAGGATGGATGTTCCTGCAGATTATCTGTTTAGACAGAATCAGTTTCATGGAACTGGTGATAAGAACTCTGATCTTGAAACCCAGGAGAATCTGATCGGCACATGTAAGTAAGAAATAAAATATAAATGTAGACTGTTTCCATAAGGGATGAGTTCAAATTTGGCAATAATTCAACATATGATTTTAAAGTTGATCATTATTGATATGTGTGATCTAGAAAGCAAGGATAAAAATGTAGACTGATTCCATAAAGGATGAGTTCAAATGTGACAATATTTCATTATATGGCATTGGAGTTTGAATGGAGAGTTGTTGGAGAGCAGTTTAAAGATGTTTTCTCATTGCACTCTTCAGTTCAATAAGGTTTAAGGTGCATTAAGAAGTTTATTCATTCAACTTAGCCTTTCAGAGAGTCCACATATATACCTATTACTATTTTTATATTTTCAGCTCGTAGAAAGAGAACAATATTTACGATATTTGTGGGATATCATGATGCAACACCAACAGGACCAATGGAAGGAGCCAGTTCAGCTCTTCACAGTAAAGTTAAAAATCTCGCTGAAGCCAAACAAGTGGTAGAGGAGGTATTTAATATTAAATATATCGAAATGACATGACATAACATGACAAGGGCTTTAAGAGAATATGAGGTATATTCATTGAATTTTAAGGAGTCCACATAGAAACTTCTCTAATATTTTGATTGGTAGACATATCCATTTCCATATCCATCCAAATTTTATAAATTTTTAATTTTTATTTTTTTCTTTTTTTTTCAGTTTTTCAAAGAACGTCCCATCTGGTCTAAGAATGCTTTAAGATATAGATTGGATCCGAAATATTTAGCTAGGTTAAAGTTCGTCTTGCCACTGGTGTCCTATTTTATGACAACTGGACCATGGAGAGTTCTGTGGGTCAAGTTCGGCTATGATCCAAGAACTGATCCCAAAGCCAAGATCTACCAGACTCTAGATTTTAGAAGAAGGCAGCGTAAGTTTTTTACAAACAGAATTAAAGGGATTGGTTCACCATCCATTTGATCAATCGTACCTTAATATCAGAAACAGGAATTTTTTAGCTAAGCTACTCAGTAATAGTGTTTACAGCTCACCATGAAAATTTGAGCCTTCAAATCTATGTGTGTCCAGACTCGTCTTTTCTTGAGACTAAAATCAACCCTTGGAAATGGCCTTTCAGCCCAAATGTCTTTCACAACTTTGTATTCTTAAGAATGCTTTTCAGAAGTGAAAACATTAATATTTGAATTTATATTCAAGGTGGTGCAGGTGATTGTATGCCTATTGGACACAAAAGAAGTACCTATACATACTCTCTACCGACTGCTGTCAATAAACCAAGATGTACCATAGCCCAGATCTCAACAGCCAATCTAGAGAGTAACAAACCAACAAAAGAAACGCCCTCACAATTTCTGGTGAGCAAATTAATATTTACTTAATTTTTTCTGGATAATCTGACAATTGACAATTAACAATGTGAATGATGCAGACCGGAGAGACTTACTTGGAAAGCATCTATTTTCTTGAATTGGATATTCAAACCAAGATCCTGTGTGTTACTGACCATACATGTTAGAAATTGATATCTGTTAATACCAATTTGCTGGCCAAAATTTTCCTTAAGTACATTATACATTGTATTGTGCTGTTTTCATTAGTCATGGACGGAAACAACAGATACAATAAACGAGGTCTTATTAGGACTGAACAAAGTTATAACCAATGAAATTTAAATGAATTGTAATTCCAGGAAAGTACATATAAATTTCGAGCTGATGTTCTACCACCCTATAGACAAATGTTTTATCAGATCTGTGATATAGAAGATGACAAAGTCCAAGAGTTACTCTCTCAAAATAATGCTCAGGTATGTGTCAGTTTAAAGTGATTCATGGGCCTTATTTTCAAAATTGGACCAAGATGAAATCCAGACCGAGTCTTCAAATGGTGTTTGAGTCGTAAAAAAATGGCCTTTTCAAGTTCAAATAGCTTAGAAGACACTCCTAGAGAGTCCACATTATTGTTTTATTTGAGTCTGTGAGACATTACTCCTGACTGCAAGTTTCAACTCAATTATATCAGTACCATGTTTTATTGCAGGAGACAGTCTGTGATGAAAAGGAAGGCTGGTGTATTCCTGACTTCTGTGACCTCTCACGAGATATTCTATATGGCCATGTTGAAAATATTATAGCTAAAACATCCTTCTCTATACCTTCTGATGGTAAGTTATGGAGCTTGAACAGGGTGTGGAAGGTGGAGGAGCCTGGAAGAGGGTAGGAAAATGGGAGGATCTTATGGGGCCTGACTTCTGTGACCTGTTGACCATATTCTGTATGGCCATGTTGAAAATATCAAAGCTAAAACATCCTTCTCTATACCTACTGATGGTAAGTTAGGGGGCATGAACAGGGCATGGAGGTGCCTGGAAGAAGCTGATGGTAATTGTAGGCTGAGCTTGGACACATTCCAAAGAAGTGGGAGGAGTTGAAAAGAGGAGGTGGGGCTTGAAATCAGTTCATCACTACCTTGAAACTACTATCATCTTGGAATGATTGTAGATTTTCCAAATTTATTCTCACAGCTTTAAAAAAAAAATTCTTTTAAATTCCCTCTATTTCAGCTTCACTCAATCAACCCACAGAAAAGTAGGATGTAAAACTCCATTCAATTCATTTCTATTTCAGCTTCAAGAAGATCAAGGCATGTGGTGGCCAAGATGAGAGAGTTTCAGTTGTTAGAAGCTGCTTCAGAGGAGGATTTTGAGGACACTGTGACTGCAGGGCAGAGGAAAGAGACTGAAGAACACGATGATCATTTTAGAGAAGAAGGACCATGGGAGAATGAGGATGGAGAGTTTGAGGAGGAGGATGAGGGAGATTACGAAGATGCTGGTGATGACAATGAAATGGACACAGAAATGATAGACTGTGTTTAAAATCTCATGGGGGAATAAATGATAAAGGAACAGAAGAGCACGGGGACCATTTTAGGGAAGAAGGACCAGGGGAGATCGAGGACATATTGAGGATGAGGCAGATTACGAAGATGCTGGTGACAACAATGAAATGGACCCAGAGATGATGGACTGTGTTTGAAAAGTGAGAAACTGGCAAAGAGACTGACAGGGAAGAGGGAGGAGTTTAGGACTGGGTTTAAAATCTCCTCTGAATCACTGAAAAGATAACTGAAAGGAAATCTCAAGGAAGATTCAAATACAACAAAATGGACTCGGAGATGATGGTCTGTGCTTGAATTGTCCTGGAACAATCAATCTTGTAAAATCATCATCATTCATTCATAATTCATTTTTTCATCTTTAATTCATTTATTCGTCTTTTCCATTGACTCGTGTAGTGATTTCATCATTCATTTTCATTCATTGATCATTTTCATTTATTCACAATTCATTTATCATTCATTATTCATTTTCATTCATTATTCATTTTCATTCATCATTAATCATTCATTTTCATTTATCATTCATTTATCATTCATTTTCATTCATAATTCATTTTCATTCATCATATCTCATATTGATAAAATAAACAAGTTTAAAGAGAGAATGTTTTTATATGAAGACTCATTTTTGTAGTCTTGTCTAAACACGGTTATTTCCCTTTACCCATGTCACACAATTAGACTTAATCGGGACTGCAAGACTTGAGCTAACTTTAGCCTAGACTTCTATTGCTAATAGTTTGACATTTTCGAAGTTGGTGGCCTTGATTTCTTATTAGAACATCACGAAATAGATATATAAATGAAACAGGTTGCATTCAGTATAAGCTTAGTATGCAGGATTCCCAAGGTCCTCGCTAGGCTTGAAGATCCACTCGAGTTGTAGAATAGCAAAGGTTTGTCAACGTCATTTCATTACGCGTACATTAACTCAGAGAAATAAGGCGTTATTTCATTACATTAACCTAGAGTAGTAAGACGTCAACGTCATTTCATTACATCAACCAAGAGCAGTAAGAAGTAATTTCATTACATTAATCTAGAGCAGTAAGAAGTCATTTCATTACATTAATCTAGAGCAGTAAGAAGTCATTTCATTACATTAACCTATAGAAGTAAGAAATCATTTCATTACATTAACCTATAGAAGTAAGAAATCATTTCATTACATTATAACCTAGAGCAGTAAGACGTCATTTCATTACATCAACCTTGAGCAGTAAGACGTCAACGTCATTTCATTACATTAACCTAGATCAGTAAGATGTCAACGTCATTTCATTACATCAACCTAGGCAGGGGATGTAAAACTCCAATTTATACCAAGACAGTATACCTTTCAAGTTTTGGACGAACAATAAGATTAAAAATTCCAGGTGGTTGAATTCTCCATTGAAGAAGACATGATTTGTCTATTAAGAGAACAATATAGTCTCAGCTTACCCGCTGTTAGTCTGAACTACCCGACAACAACTGAACGTTTAATATCATGAGTTGATAACGGTCTCTTGTCCTTGAAGATACGTCCTGCTGGGAGTTTTGAAACCGGTTTGTACTGAAGGCGTGAACGAACAATCAAACTTAGGATGAAAAACATCTCTTTTTGCCTGTGATTTGTCCGGAATTTTTCTCAACTCTACACTAAAACTGATAACAAACCTTATGTCCGCATCAGACCCTTACGATTTCGTCCAGTAGCGTATTCAGGCCCACCAGCCCACCTCCCCCACCTCATAAAGTCTAAAAATTTATCCCGAACGCCACTGACCTTGTTGGTCACAATAATTTCGTGTGTATCCCAGTAAGACTAACGATACGAGGTCAGTTATTGCGGACTGGCCTTACAAAACACCTGATGCAAGTCCCGTGAGAGTCAACATAGCTTTATAGGTTTATTGCTTTGTTGTTTAGTACTCAGTATGAAAAGAATAATGTATATTTTATTCACGTCGCTAATTGACCGGTAACGTTTGTCCCCGTGGCCATTTTCAAACTAAATAGAAGGCGAAATGGTCTTTATGTCGGTCTTGCAGAGCTGGGCCGTACTTTGGGTGGTGGCGTACTTTGGGAGAAGATGGTACACTTTGGGAGGTGGTGTACCGAGTTTTGGGTGGCTGGAGGCGTACTTTGGAGAAGGTGGCGTACTTTGAGAGAAGGCGTACTTTGAGAGGAGGCGTACTTTTGGTGGCGTACTTTGAGAGGGGCGTACTTTTGGTGGCGTAATTTGAGAGGAGGGATTTTGAGATATGACGTACTTTGAGAGAAGGCGTACTTTCAGAAAACGCATACCTTTGGAGAAGGGTGGCGTACTTGGGAGAAGGTGGCGTACCTTTGGGGAGGTGTTGTAGTATGATAGGAGGCACACATCAGGAGAAGATGACGTATTTGGTAAGGTGGTGTACTATGATAGGGGGAAACATTGGGAGAAGGTGGTTTACTATGATAGGGGGAAACATTGGGAGAAGGTGGTGTACTATGATAGGGGAACATAATTGAGAGAAGGTGGCGTACTTGGAGAAGGTGGCGTATTTTGGGGTCTGGTGTACCTAAGAAGGTGGTGTACTTTTTGGTGTACGCAAAATTTAATTGAGTATAAAATTACCATTCACAAGATTGATAGATTCATCATGTAAATTAATGGACAATTGACATCCGTTACAGGCTACACTAATTGGTTATTGTAATATCCAGGACATTTGACATTTTGTATCACTTTGATTATAATGCAATTGGCTAATCAAAAAAAAGTTGCAACGACCTTAATATGGTGATAATACTAATGTGTATATGAGAAAAATTGAAAAGTTAAAAGGACAGATTCGAAATCCATTTGTCCAAAGGTAGCTTAGTCTCAGAATTGGGATTTTTTAGCCGAAATCCTCGCTACACCAGTGCCCCCACCCTTTCTATCGATGTTTGCAAGAAACCATTATTCAATTGCTTACCCTCCCTTCTCATATCAAAATGAACCTTTCCCCACCACCCAGAAAATATGCTGGTCCGGCTTTTCCACACCCCCACTTTCAATTTTTTTTTATCATTTTACATAGTGAAAGAATAGCCTGTGCACCCCTGAAAAATTGTGCTCGGCTCCCTCACCTGATGTAGAAACACTAATGTATCATTAGTGAGGGGGCCGAGAAGGGGCATAAAAAGGGAGGGGGCGGGGGGGGTTGGGGGGGGGGGGGGGTCACAGGCAATAATTCGCTATGTAGTTAGATAATTTTTTATTATCTTGGCCTGTGCAAATATCAGAACTTGTGGATACGTCCCTGTTGTTTAAAAACCTACGCTGTAAATTGAAGTTACCAACAAACTTAGGCTATAAAGACTGTATTCCTTATCAAAATTAAACCCCATTTTTTTTTTCAATTCTATAATTAGCTGTTTATGACCCCAAAAAATCAACTCGGCGCTCCCTAAACTATAGCTATATAAAACTTCAAACATTATATTATTACGATATGATCTATGTAACTTATTTACATAATAATAATAGCTAACCATCCTCATTTCTTTATCAATAAGTTTATTTAGGTGAAATTACTCGAATGAAAAGATGCAGGTCAAAGGGTCGAATATAAAATGTTGAAATCCTTAGGGTTTTCTTGAATGGTATTTATGCACGTTTTTATCCAATAAAAACAAAACATATTGGTGATGTTTCCCTTGAATTTTCATGATATTCTACAGGTCATGCGATAGCTTTAAATAGGTGACCCCAAGAAACTGCCAGAGCTCCCCTCAAGCCAGCATACAACCAACGCCCAATCCGCTGTATCCAAAGGATGGTCGAGGACACATGGCTACCCATTCTCATACACATTTAAACACCTATTTCGAGCTTGTACGTGTATTAGCTCGGGAGTTTTAGGCCTACCATGAATGTGCCAGCATGTATATGCCACCATGCAATCGATCTTGGCCAGCCACCCGCCTATCCAGTTTTAATGCTTATTTTACACGTGACCAAATATGACGCTTTAAGCAACCCGTCCCTTTAAATTTTTCACCAGCCAATGAGAATCGAGCACGTTCTGGTGACGTTTTAAACGTCTGAATGATCATTGTGTATGTGTGAAGGTTATGGTATAGTATGGTCTCTCTTTGATCTTGTAAAAGCCATAAATTATAACTGTATAACATCAATCATGACACCAAACCGAGCCTACATCATAAAAAACACGAAAAAATAAATTACTATAGGTTATGAATAAACAAATGAGTTTTTGATGAGAAAATTACTCCCAATTCAGTGAGGGTAGTGGTACAGATCAGTCTTTGGCGAATGGATGAACCCCAACCCCCATTCCCATGCGTGCCCCAGAGTCCAGCGGATAACCTAAGTTGTTTCATAAAAACCCAGAAACAAAATTACTATAGGTTATGAATATATGATTTTTTGATGAGAAAATTACCACCCATTTCAGAGAAGGTAGTGGTATAGCTCAGTCTTTAGTGAATGGATGAACCCCAACCTTCATGCGTGCCCAGCGGATAACCTAAGATACAACCCCATGCCACTAAAAACTCAGAAAAATTAATTGCTACAGGTTTTGAATATATGACTGTTTGGTGTGAAAGTTATTCCCATTTCAGGGAGAGCAGTCGTATGGCTCAATCTGTAGCGAGTTAGGTTGCAGTAGGTTCATAGATAATGAAGACAAAGTTAAGCAGTGTGCAATGAGTAAATTCTACAGGACGAGAAATCAGCCTACTGCCTTGCTTTTCAGTGATTTTGAGCAAAAGTTTGTAGCACAAAAGACAATTGGAGCAACCATTTTCATGCAGCTTTCACCTATATCCATACTTCCGGTTCCGATCGGACGACGGCTGTGAGTGTAGTTTCGCATATTCCACAACGGCAACACCGATGTAGTCTCTGACACCCAGAATTCTCCTGTCTTCGACGAGGTAGCAGATGATGGTATACCAAGTGGGACTGGATGATAGAGGCTAGCCCTGTGTTGTTTTGCA